ACAAAAAAGTCTTTGTCCTAAGACACAATGAATATAGAAGAGATTATAGGAATCAAAATATTGTAACAACTTCAGGATACTTGTTTTGTTAGGAAATACAATATCCAGTTTAATTGGTTAGATGGTGAATAACAACATAAACAAAATGTTACTTTCAAATAAAATAAGTGCTAAGATTTTCTCAACACAATATAAATCCACCCTGTATCAACGTTTTTAAATGTTTTATTGTTATATTGATAGTACATTGTTCAGTCTTATGAGTCCTTCCCCCCACCACAACCCCTAGTCTTAACTGTATCCACGCAGTAACTTTTATGAGGTTAGCATTACAACCCATCTCAATGTGTGTGCTTAGAAAACGCACTCTCATTTTAGAATTTTCTTTCATAAAATATTACTCCTGTGGTCTTATTGGCAAATGAGTAAAAATAAAAATTTCTCCTTCTCTAGGATTGAGGAGCCCTGGTGGTGCAGAGGTTAAAGTGCTTGGCTGCTAACCTAACACCAGCCGCTCCTTGGGAGAAAGATGTGCCAGTCTGCTTCATAAAGATCCACAGCCTTGGATGCCCTATGGTGCGGTTCTACTCTGTCCTATAGGGTCACTATGAGTGGGAATCGCCTCTACAGCGATGAGATTTTTTTTTTTTTTTGGCACATCCTGGGGAGGGGGAGCTGATTCACACCTTTTTGTAAGTATAAAGAAGTTACAAGTTTCAGGTGTAAAAGCCCTCAAATGACATTGATTGTTATGTGTGATTGAAATAATCCTGTTGAATTACCTTAGAGAGATAGGGGCTGGTGCTTCTAGGGAAGACAGGACACCTCCAGCTGGCCCCAGCCCAGGAGACAGGAGGGTTCTCAGACCCTGGAAGGACAGAGGGGTGGTGGGTTCTGTGATTGGCCAGGATGCTCATGCTGGATAGGAAAGTGCCCAGCCACAGCAGGACCTTGGCAGAGATGCCTGGACACTGAGCAGTGGACGTCATGGCCTTGGGAACTGCAGTGAAAGTGGTGGGTTCCTCCACTTTCCAGCCGACTGTGAGGGCTAACACAGTGGCTCTCAGTGGTGGACATGGTGGACTACTGACCAGAGAGGGGGGCCTCTCCCACATTTCCCTGGATTGCCTGGCCTCTAAATCCTGGTTTAACCCATGGAAGGGAGGAAGCCATGAGAAGAACAAAGAAAGCCAAAAAGCTTACAAGCCCTAGAGGGATCTCACAGCTGGGTATGACTTCATTCAAAAAGAGAAAGAAATGTATATCGTGCACATTTCTTATGTATTGTGCGCAGTGAAGCAAATCACACTCGTTTAAGCATATTATAATAATCTGACAAACCAAAGTTCTTTTCCTTAGGAAATTTGCACCAGTGGTTGTTACAACAAGGTTGAACTTGTTCATTAAGGATGGGATTAGCGAGTGGACAGTAATACTGCTTCCCATGCACCTTCTTATTTCATCATCCCAGGTTGGGAGGTGGGACCTGTGGCCCTTTCACTGGGTCCCAGCACCACATCCAGATGATTACTTCTCCATCTCATGAGAATTGTTGCTCCTTTGAAGCAGTTGCATTTGAATTGACCATTCTCCATCCTACCTTATTCAATCAAGACTTCGCATAGTGTTGGGTTCTCAGCTCTCATCACCTCAAGTCCTGCCATTATTCTGGGTGACTTCAGCACGTATTTGTCTATTTATTCCCTACCCTGGCATATTGGTTCTTTGACCTGCTCGTCTCTATTAATGTTCACCTCTATCCCTCTTCAACCCCCTCGTCTATAGCCACGCTTGGAAGTGCTCCCTGTCCAAAATCCTAAATCAAAATATGAATTAGGTAATCAGTTATCTGTAACTCGATAACAAGTTACCCCAAAACTTAATGCCTTAAAAAAATAAACATTTGTTTTGAACTTAGTATGTTTCTCTCCAGAGCATCAAAAATGGCCTCACTGATTTTTATTGTTGTAAAAATATAGATAACACATTTGCCATTTCAACATTTCCCATGTGTACAATTCAGTGTCATCAATTATATCAATCATGTACAACCACTAATGCTGCTTATGTATAGACAAACACCTCATGAAATTTATTTCCTTGGTTCAAAGACCTTAGGGTCATGGTTTCACTGGTTATTTCAGGGAGGTGGCCTAATATAATTGTTAGTGTTTCTGTTTGACTTCCTAGTTTTGCTGTGTGGTGCCTGGGATCTTAAAAGCCAGATGTTGCCCAATTACCATTTACTGAGCATTTTTGATAGAAGATTCTATAGCAAGACCACGACCCAAAGGAAAGAGTGATGACTCAGTAGTATGTAATTCTCCTGGAATCCAGATTTCTGGTTTTCATGGAGGTTGACGCAACCCACACAGGACATTGCCTTTGGGTGTCCTCTTGAATCTTGAGCTTTGAGGAAAAAAATGGTTCCTGAAGCCACTCTGAGTCAAACAATGGTCCAGATAAACTAATAAGACCATTTTGCTCTGGGCATTGTGCTTTTTTTTTTTTTTTTTTTAAAGAATTCAGTCTGTTTTAGGAAACTTAAAAGATCAGACTGAGAGTTATATTTAAGGTAAATCAGTAATTTGTTTAATCAGTCTTTAAGACAGTGGTGTATGAAATATGTCTAATGTTTGTAATCAAACTGTCACCCTCTTAGGATACAGAAAATTATGTATCTTAAAGAAACCAGAAGAGGAGATCGACTGCATGGCTCAGACTCCGTTTTGTCTTTTGTTCCATTTCTGCTTCTGAGAAAGTGACCCATGACTGTTAATAGGTAAACCAAGGAGGGGCAGCTTGCCCTTGGGAAGAACAATTTGTATGTTTTAAACGGACTAACTGAAGACCTCCTACAGGAGAGGTCCATCCTGTATTATCTTGCTAATCATTAGTTCTCTAACGAAAACTTGTTCGTCATATGTCAATTTTTCTGTACCTTCTGTTTTCTCTAGACAAGCTTTGAGTGCTCTTTATGGACATACATATTTGTGGAATAGATCCACCTGCACTAGTTTAGATGATCCCTTTCCAACTGGCAGTGAATTTATGTGGGCAATCTCGTTGAAACTCCTGACGAATGCATGGACAATGCACTTTGGAAACTTTAGGATTATCTTTAGACATTCATAGTTATGATGCTAGTAAATATTGGAAAGATAATGTGAATTTGTTACACATTGTAAAATGAAAGTCAGAAGAAAACTCATTGGTCCAACACTCAGGGTATGGTTGGTAGTTTTAATTCCTAGTTATGGTATAGCTGAATTGGAGAAATATTTAAGAAATTTGTCAATTGCTATGGGACAAATAGACAAAGTTCCGAAGGGGATGGAAGCACAACAGTGAGTTCTGATCTCATAAGCCAAGCGACATAACAAAATAACCTTAGATTTTTGTATTAGTCCAAGAAAAGTGATAGTCTGTGCTGTAGACAAGATATACATACAATTAGACAGCAAGCTACTTGGTTACACACTGTAACACCCTTACAGACACCAGATTTGCTTGGTTGGTTACCATCAGGAACAAGTACATGGGCTAAATCACTATTGCAAAGAACAGTAATATTCTTAGTCTATATCCTGATAGTATTGGGCATGATAAAATTTATCCTCTATTGTCTTACACACCTAAAAGGTAAAAGAAGGCCTCGGGCTGAAATGTTGATGTACATTGAGTCTGCTCCCTCCAGCAATTCGATTGATGAAGGTATCTCTTACTTAATAACCTGGTGAAGAACCAAATGGTAAAACCCGGTGGAAAACTAGCACCGTGAATTTAAAGAGCCTGCCATGGCCACCATCTAGGAGCTCGACTAAGTCCAGGTATTGATCACCAATGTGTTATCTCCAATCTCTGATCAAAGGGAGGGAACTATCTAGGAAATAATACTGGAGTTATTATTCCCCGTCCTTGAGCATAGAGAATGTGACCCAGCTGGAGCTGGGCTCACAGGGACTCATAAAGACGCATCAACTGGGCCCTGAGGTACAAAGACAATAACTAAGATAATCTTGGAAAATATCTTTTAGGGAAATGTTTACATAAAGCCAATCAAACAGAACACAAAAGACTTTCTACTCTTATCTTTTTCTATTAGCATTTAGTGAACAGAAATTTGTTGAACCAATGAAGCCCGTCCTGACTGTTCTTACTGAAACCTGGACCAATGATTGTTAAGAAAGACAATTCAAAATGTAAGACCACAGTTTCTAGCCAATCTGTGAAAAGGTGACGTTTCAATGGCGTTGCCCATTTGTAATGTTAATATATACTGATGACTCTGTAATGGTCTCTGGACTCGGGCAGACATGCCTGTGGCAGCATGGCTGTCCGTTTTCCACTCTTGCCTTTTTGAATACGTGCTGAAGAAAACTTTCTTTTGCTTTACTAGACTTTGTGATGTTCTTCCCCTACAACAAACCAATGTCACAAAACAATTTATGTATAAATGTTTGAATGAGAAACTAAAGTCTCACCTAAAGCACAATAAAATTTAAAAAATATATATCATAGAAATTAAAAAAAAACAAAACAAAACTTCACATCCCAACAATTTTAACTCTAACATAGTTTTTCCTTAAGATGTTGACTGAACAGTTGTGAGGACATGGCTGGAGGCCGGTCTGGTTTCCTTCTTCAGCAGTTGATAAAATCCATTCTCCATCCACTTCCTTTATCTGTCTTTCTATTTCTGGGCTACTATGCCCCAAGGCTAACTTTCCAGGGGCCAGACACCAACACCTAGCGACAGCCTTAGATGCCTGCAGAATTACCCAGTCTCCAGGAAGTCTAGGAGACCTAGCTAACCTCCACCCTGCTCACCAGATGCAAACCATCTTCTACAATTGCAGCTTGTTACCCTGTTACTGGATGCTATGTCCTGTGTGGCCCTGCATGCTGTGTTCTCCCCTCATGAGTAAAATAAAGCCTTTCAAACTTCCGTGGTTTCTCTCTTGCTACAGAAGGTAGGAAGTTACTCGCTAATGATCAGCTTCTCATAATATAGACTTTAAGTCCATGCATGCTTCTCTACACACTAATTTTTTTTTAAATTTATTATGTTGTTCTGCATCCGCAAGACCCCGATCTCACTGTGGAATTTCAGATTTCAGGGTGTTTTATATTTCATCTGTTTCTAAATTCTACCTCTTCTTGGTTTTTGTCTTGTTTAAACGGCCCAGATTTCTCTGCCTCAATCCCTTCTATATTTACGCCCAAATTACAAAGCCCATATTATTGCTTGTGCTACCACTCCCTTACGGTTCTGACTAAAGGAAAGAATGTTAAGATTCACTTTTCCCAACTCTGCCTCCTGCAATCTGTGAAGGGAAACTGAAACTTATAATGAACCTAAGACTGAAAACGAAACCGAAATCCACTCGCTTGGTATAAGAGCGGCTGCGGAGGCGCTGATCTTGGCTCCCCTTCCAGCTTCCACTCGGTCGGTCCCCGCGCTCTCGGTCCCTCTCCCCAGCTCCTCATCGCGGGAAGCGCTGAGCGGGCTCTTCCGACGTTGCAGGTCCTGGCGTCTGGGGAGGGGGATGAGGAGCGGGAGGTGCTCCGTGTTGGAGGGTGGATGTAGGGGTGTCTCCAAGGAGCGGTCTAGAGCGGAGCTGTCCCGCGGGGGTTCTAGGTGCGGTTCTAACCTGGACTTGCCGGACCGCAATCCGCTCTACAGCGCGCTCGGCGCGGGCTGCCGGGAGCCTGGGGCGCTGCGGGGAGCCGGGGGGTTGGGTAGAAGGAGCTGGGGGGTCAGGGGGGCGGGC